AAGAGTAAGTGGATAATACCCTAAGTTCCCATATGCTATCTTTACCCCGATTTTGCATTTTTTCAGAGAATTCCAGAAAAACGGGGTAAAATCTGAAAATTCATCCTCCCGATGAAATAGATCCTAAGTTGTCATATCCAATCTTCAACCCGATTTTCCATGTTTTTTTTTCAATGAATTCTAGATAAACGGGGTAAATTCTGCTAACTTATCCCGCAAGTGATAGCAATGCGCTAAGTTCCCATATGCCATCTTTAGCCCGATTTTCCATTTGATCAGTGAATTCGAGAAAAACATGGTAAATTCTGAGCATTCATGCAACGAGTGAATAATACCCGGAGTTCCCATATCCTATCTTTACCTCGAATTTTGAGAGAGGCCAATGATCCGGTTCGTAATGACCATACAGATAGTAAGTTTTCTTGAAATAAGTTGGAGGTTGCTCATCCGTTGTTACCGGAAAATACTGGTCGAATTTCCCACTTATCCCGACCCCCCTTGAATGAGTACCTTTGCTTGAAGACAGAACTACAACGGAGTCTCTTAACCAGTCCCAAGCCGCGTGTCGCTTGAGAGATCACAGGATATGATTGGCCACTGTATCACATTACGTCAGGGAACATATTTACAATGAGGGAACATAAGTGCTATGGTACACCTATCGACCTCAGTTCAACAGGACCTCAGTTCAACAGGTCCTCAGTTCTAGTTTCTTGCTTGATGTATGAAAGCGAGGGCTTGGGTTGGCTCTCGGAAAGACTAGGAAACCCCGACCGAATGTTTCCTTTACAAACAGCTGGCCTTTAAGAGAAATACGTCATATTTTTGACCTGTGAATGATTGCAAGTAACAGTCAATGTAACTTCTTTAGACTGCATTTTACCAATGAGTATAAATTCGTTAGATATTTATTTCTGTGTTTCTTTGTTTATTTGTCTTTTTCAATTTTCGCTTTCGTCTCGCTGTTGTAGGAAGGAACAAGAGATCATGGTCGTTATGAACATCTCTTGGAAGGAAAATGATTATGAAAATGGTCATGATTATTATGAA